AGTGTTGTGTAAGTCTTAAGAGACAGTGTGTTTGAAGCGCAGTGTATGTATGTATTTATTCAATGACTGAACTGTGCAGCTAAAATTTAGGAAGATTTGTAGGAACTGAGGACAGTTTGCTTTTCAAGGAACTGACCCAGCCCTGGATTTGCTGCTTTAAGTTTTTATTAATATAATTTTGTAATTATCCAAAGTCTTTTTTTAGTAACCAAGGAAATAGTTACTGATAATTGGGGTTGGAAAACACGCCAAGTAGCTAAAGGAACTCATGTCCTTGTTTCCTGTGTTATGATTTGAGATGCAGCAAAGAAAATAGAAGACGTTGAGCTGATGCTTGTAATTAATTACGGTGAAAGTTGGGGCCTTCCAGCCACAAGCACATTTGTGTGGCAATTTTTTTTAATTTTTACTCTTGCCGAAAACTATGAGCTATGCTATTGTTCCAACGTAGAGTGCTCATTTGCCTCTGGTCATGTACTGGAACTGCTTAATTAAACAAACAAACAAAAACTAGGTACCTAGTACTTGGGATTTTTGTCAGAAACTCAAACATTTTTTTCATTATGTTCTTTGTTCTGTCGTTTGCTTTCCGAGCTGGGGGGTTGCTTGTGTCATGTGATCCCTTCTACTGGGACAGGCTGTGTTTCACAAGAAATGTGGTGACTTTGGTTGTCGATGTCCCTCTCCCCTTTTAAATAAACATTAATCGAGAACAACACAATTTTATTATCTCTGGCAGATCCAAGTTAGTGACTGCTTGTCTCTGAATAAAAGTAGGTGGGGCCGGTTGAAGTTACTTTCGCCATCCCATCCCAGGGCGGTGGGTGAACCGTGCCCGGGGTGTCCGAGGTTCGGATTCTGTAGTCTCATCCCTCTGCAGAGGAACCGTGGCCGTTGTCAGTGCTCACGAGAGGAAAGCTGTTGAAAAGCAGGACATTACACGTATACCCTAGATTTTTGTGGTGGGAACTAAGGCAGATTCTGTGTTTTTGCTGATCACTTCTTGAAGCTCGGGTGGTCTTGAGGAGAGAGGCGCTGTTCCCAGAAAATTAGCACCGGAATAAGTCACTGCCCTGTTGTGGCAGCGGTTACCCCAGGACACTGATGGTGGGACGCCTCGTGAACCAGGGATCCTGTTTGCCCGCTTACCAGTTTGTCGCGTACACACCGTGGTTTTGGTTTTGTGTTGAAAAGAAGACAGTGTGACTTGACTGCCTGCCACCGGGTTTGTAGAAAACCGAATGCTCCTGGGGAAATTCTCAGCAGGGTAGTATTTCTGTGAAGTGGCAGCTGGAACCCTTTTAGAAAAAGGCAGTAACTCACACTTTACTGCACATAAAGTCTTGTCCCTCAGGGCGAATTCTCTCGTGTCATAGTGTTTATGACTCATGAGTGCTGTACTTTTGTGATACAATAAACAAGGAAAGGTGGTGGGAGAATTCTATTCCTGTGCAAAGAACCACTTCACCTGTCATCATATAGAAAGAGGCCATGGGGTTATTAAATTTTTAGTGGCACTTTTCAAGTGGAGCATTATCGGAGGCTGAAATGCATGCACTGTAGTGCCAAGATACTTAAGTACAAAATAAAATGAAGGGAAGGGAGCCACTTCCGTTGGGAGCTAAGGCCCCGGCATTGTTTCCGAACAATAACTTTCTCCATCCCCTCCCCACGATGCTGACTTAGGTATCTCTTTGCGTGTGTGTTCTCATAGCACATGCTTTCAGCACGGAATTCACCCTGCGTGACACCGATTAGTGCCTTCTTTTTTATGTTTTTTAAGCAGACTCTTTTTTTAGAGCAGTGTAGGTCCACAGCAGAATGGAGAGGACAGTACAAGAGATTTCCCACTAACGCCCCATTCCTGACACACATGCACAGCCTCCCCGTCGTCAAGGGCCCCCACCAGAGCCGGGCACTTGTTATCATCGTTGACTCTGCGTTGACACCTCCTCACCCAAAGTCCATAGTTTATGTCAGGGGCCACCAAGTTTGGGCCATGTATGTGTTCACCATTGTAGTGTCCTATCGAATAGTTTCACTGCCCCGAGAAGCCTCTGTGCTCCTCCTGCTCACTCATCCGAACCCCCTGCCTCCGGCAACCACTGACCTCTCACTGTCTCCATAGATTTGCCTTTTCCAGAACATCATATAGTTCAGCGGTCCCCAGCCTTTTTGGCACCAGGGACCAGTTTCACAGAAAGTAATTTTTCCACAGAGTAGGGCAGCGGGGGTGGGGGGAGCAGGAGGCAGAGCTCAGGCAGTGAGGCGGGTGGCATCCACAGATGGGGAGGCGGGAGGCTGGGGAGCCCTGATATATTTGGAATCACACAGCATGAAGCCTTTTCAGATTGGCTTCTTTCACCAGTGCTAGAGGGGAAGGGACTCCCCTCTTTCTACCCTTCTTGAGTTCTCACTGCTGGGCTACTACTAAAATGGGCACAACACAGAAGGACAGGAAGATCCCAAGTTTGATTACTTGTACACGGGAGAGTTAAAAGGGTACTTCTCTGTGACAGAAGAGTTGTACAAATGAAATTTTACATAAAGAAACAGTACATCGTGGGGGATCTGACCAGACAAGGAGCTAGGTTTTGGGAGCCACAGTCAAGGACTGAAGTAGAAGGTGGGTGCAGGGCAGTAAATTACTAAAATTCCCAAGGGTTTGTGTATATGGGCTTCTCAGCTCTGGGTTCTTTACCTCTGGTGACCAGGCTGTGTCCGCCTGAGTCCCTCTGCTCCTTAGGCCTTTCCTAGCACGGAAGGCACCTTTCACATGGGGATTTGTTTTCTGTATTCAGGGTCAGAGGGCTTCTGCTTCTGCCACTGCTGCTGCTGTTGCTACTGCTGCTGCTGCTTGTCAGGTTATTTTAACCCACAATAATTAATATGCCATTGTGGGATATTTGGGGACGGAGTGCTCTGTGCCCCAATGCATTGAAGGCTCCTCCGTGGCTTTTCATGATTTAATAGCTCGTGTCTTTTGAGCACTCAGTGACCCATTGTCTGAATGTACTGTGGGTTCAATGTCTTATTTTTTTTAACTGATTTATCTCAGGGCTGGGACTAAGGGGAAGTAAGTGAGGCACTCAGGAATAAAGATTAAATAGTAGTTTAGTACTATATTTTAAAATATCGAAACCAGCGTAAAATTTTCAATGAACAAAGTATCAACATTTTGGTGAAGATAGGATCCAGGCGGGCCTCGCTGAATGTCCCTGGCGGGCAGTCATCAGCAAACCTCCTTGCAGCCGTATCCTCCAGCGGGGGCATCGTCTTCTTGCTCTGAAACCTGGTTCTGTCCCAAAGGCACTGCTGCCCGCGCAGCCCTTGCAGGTAGACGCGCTTTGGAACGTCTCATGGAATTGTGCCAGGAGATGGGGATGTCCTCTTTCCTCCACATTTCCACCTCCAAACCTGTCCTCTCTCCTCCCTAAAACGTCCCCCGCCCCAACTTTGAAGTGTACACCCTCTCCTTGTTGGTCATCTGGAGCTGACCTTCGTCCGCAACAGCGTTCTCTCTCATCTCGGAAGGTTTGGGCTCCCGGCTTCCTGCTATCCCAACAACTGCCCCTTCTGTGATTCTTAAGTGATTTTACTATGAACCTCGAAGATGCTTCCCTTAGTCCAGTGTCTCAGTTCCTTGGTTTTCATTCCTCCAGCCATCTTGCTTTCATCAGCCATTCTCTCTGATGGTCGTGTCACACCACACAGGATGACCAAATACTGGGACTTCTCCCAAATCACAGTATCGACCGTCAGACACACTACGTACTACTTCCGGTCACTTCCATTCACTTCACTTTCTCTGGTAGCTTTATGCTAAAATCCTGTAATCCACACCTCATGCTACAGCCTTTTTGTCGTGTTTCCCCCCTTCCTGTTCTCCCTTCCCTCCCCTCTAGATTTCATGGCCCATCCTTCTAAACACCCCTAGCTATCTCAACTCTCTTAATTGTACTTCTCTGGCAGACTAGTACTGCTGGTGAAATGCAAGGGACAACTCTTGGTAGAAAAAAATTCTTTTTAAAGATCTTATTTATTTTTAGAGAGGGGAAGGGAGGGAGAAAGAGAGGGAGAAACATCGATGTGTGGTTGCCTCTCATGTGTCCTGTACTAGGGACCTGGCCCGAAACCCAGGCATGTGCCCTGACTGGGAATTGAACCGGTGACCTTTTGGTTTGCAGTCCAGTGCTCAGTCTACTGAGCCACACTAGCTAGAACTAGAAATATATGATATTTTCTTTCAAATACCTACTCATTATTAGTAAGCAGAAGAGATTTGATATTTCACAAATATATCTTGGTTGATCCAAATTCCACATTGCATTTCAAGTGCTCAATAAGCACCATGATTTACTGAGAACAGTAAAAAGTAAAGGGCTATAACTAATTATCAGGGGAAGAGATTCATAAATGCAATTCTTTATCTCAATGACAGACCTGGTCATTGTTTGATGAATTATTTTTATCTAAATTACTTTGAGTAAAGAGGATTTTTATATAGAAAGTTTGCTATGAATCATATCCTGTGTGTAGAATATTTGCCTACAGCCAGTAAGATAGGACTGGGTTGAATTTCGGTAAAGGTGATATCTCCTGGCGAACCTACTAACTATAACATTTATATAGGACATTATAAAATATAATTCTCCTGTCAGATTACTTTCCATTGACAATGACCCCATGCTTGGAGTGGATCCCTTCCTCCTGTTTCTATTTTTATCTCCTCTGGGGGAAAAAATAATTTAAGCCTGAATAAGTGCTGTAAAATAATAAAGTCACATTGCTTAATGTTTTTGAATGAAATGATTAGGTGCTTGTCACTTGCTTGTTTTGTTTTCCTTTCCTTTGAATTGCTTTAGCTTGATTGGACCTCAGGGCCTGCTTGAGTGTGGGGGACAGAAATACATTAGAGTAACAGTAGTGGTGGATCAGGTGCTTGCACAGCCCACCCCCTGCCTCAGGTAACAACTGACCCTTTTACCGTGCTCCCCCAGGTGTACCCGGAACTGCAGATCACCAACGTGGTGGAAGCCAACCAGCCAGTGACCATCCAGAACTGGTGCAAGAGGGGCCGCAAGCAGTGCAAGACCCACGGCCACATGGTGATTCCCTACCGCTGCTTAGGTGAGCCCGTCAGCCATGGCCCTGAGCCGTGGGGATGGAAAGGAAGGATGCTCTGGTTAGCACACGTGCACAGACTCTTCCTTCGGTGTACTGCCACTCTTTGCTGGACTGTATGTTAGGCTTTAAGGTGGTAGCCGGTGTTCCGACAGTACAGGAGACGTATGTGTGAATTTCCTGGCACAGAATGAATTTACCCAGTGTGTTTTTCAAAATTACACATTCTTGGGCTGATCCCAGTTCTGCTGAATGAAAGTGCCTGGTGGTGGAGGCCAGGGATCTTAATTTTAGCAAATTTTGTTGATATTTCCCATGTACACTGACTATCTAGACTTGGAGAATTAAGGTCTTGTGTGTTTCCTAGACTTCATACAAGAAAGAAGCTAATGGGAAGCTCCAGCATTTTGCTAGTTTCTCAGTCTCTTCCTCGCAACACTGGCTGCTCATCTTGTTTGCCACAGCCAGGGAGTTGGAGTTGGGGAGTTTGCTTTTTTTCCTGCTCACATCAAACTAGAGGAAGCAGTTTGATCACTAAGGTTTCAATGTATGTTTCTCTCACTGATCTCAAATTTTACATTAACTTTTTATTTTAAAAACTGAGTTGTTTTATGTGTTACTCTACTTTTTCCCTGTGGAAACACTATCATACTCCATAGTTATTCTGAGCTGGTTGTTCGTCTCTTCCTTGTTGATATCTGTATATATCCAGGCATTGTGGAAATCGGCAGTCTCTGACCTGGTGACTAGCGTCTTGATGGTTTCCGCAAGTTTATTCAACAGCAGGATGATTGTAAATAAGGGCATAGAGATCTATATATAAGGAGGGTGTGGACAAACGTGCATATACATTCTGATGGCTGCTTATAAAGACCAAAAGGAATTTTTTAAAGTCCCAGCTGCAAATTTAGAAATTTAAGGATAAGTACTGAAGATTCTGGAGTTCTTCATTGTAATACTTCCTTCAACATGACTGTGATGAGAGCGTGATGGTCACTGTTCATGCGTGTGCGTGATTTCAGACATCAGTAAAAAATGGGCATTAGTATGAAGATTTCATCTGGTAGATTTACTGCTACTTACAATACAATTGATGAGGAGAGCTGGAAAAGCAAATTCTTAAACATTTGGTAATTCAAGTGTTTCCTCGTTATTCTTCCTTCTTTGCTCCTAAATAATTTACAAGGCCTCTCAAACTATCTTAGTTGTTATACCAAGAGACCATACAATTCAGCACTCGAGCTAAATTACATGGTCTCTTGGTATAAGTTAGGAAGTAATCAAGCATCAGTTAATGAGCCCTTGCTAACGATTTGTTTTCTGTTGGTTCTCACTTGCCCATTTATGAAATGTTTCAAATACATTTTCTTTCCATGCTGAGCTCACTGGGAAGAGGTACTAGGTCTTTGGCTGAGAGTCACTGCATATGACACTTGGTGTGACACGCTGCAGTTTGTTTCAGAATGAACGCATGTCCTTTTGCTTAGAACTTGCTGCTTCACAGTTCTGTTCAGAGTGGTTAGAATTGACTAAGAAGTGCAATCCACGTGAAGATTGTAATTCACTACCCCGTGCCACTTAGTTGTGGCAGATGGGTACCTCCCCACCTCTGAAAAGCTCTACTCCATGACAAGAGTCAATTGAAACTCAAGGGGGAAAAAAACACAAAGAAAAGGAGGAAGAAATGTTTAAAAAGTCTTCAGATGCAAATGTGACGTCAGGAGATTTTATGATAATGCTGTGATTAACTGTCAAAACAATTTGTTTTTATCGTGGTATTTATTCTGTGTTATGCACAATTTAGGGAAGCTTCTTCCTGAGTGCTCCCACTCCACAGGCGCCAATACTGAGAGTCAGTGAGGTCGCATCTCTGGCTGTGACTGACACAGCTTATCCGTGGGGGAGTCAGGAGCAGTGCCACAGATCTTTCCATTCTTCACCCAACGTTCCTGACAGTGTTAACACAAAATTGTTTCAGAGCAAGCATCCGCCTGATTTACAAAAGCAGATCATAGAGGAAAGGCTGTGATATAGAGGCAGTGTATAGCACTTTTTTTAAAAACTTACCCCAGATGCTGTGTTTATAAAGGAGACCACCGTGACCCTGAAACAGGATAGACCCCCACCCCACAATGTTTTCTACTTTCTGGGAATAATAGACAGCAGCCCGATGTATTACCTGCCGCTGGAACAAAGAATTACTATTTAGTAATAGCATAAGTATCCTATCCAACTATATCCTTTAGACAAAAGAGATTATTTTACTGAATTCTCAGAAAGGTGCTACCTAGGAAACAAAGTAAAATTGTCTTTTATATTAAGCTTGAATAGAGAAGAATGCTTGTTATGTCTGGCGTGCACCCTTCCTGCTCTTTTTATCAGATGCGGGATCTGGTGTTGCTCTGGGTTGTTTTTCTCTAATCCGTGTATTTGCCCCGGGCATACTTGCTCTAGGTACCTTGCATTCCTTGTCTAGATGGAGAAAGTGTATTGGGTTGCTGTTGCCATTTTCTTCCCTCGGAGCGAGTGATTTCCCTTGAGAGTGAGTTGGCTTTCTCATTTTACCCCTTGCTTTGGATTGTGCCTCTGGACCCCGAGGAAAAGATCTGTCTTAATCATAATAACATTTTATTATTTGTCTCATATGGGATTCAAGCACATCATTATCATTACTCAAGGATAATTTTTTTTTCTGCAAAGCTTTCAACCCTTTTGCATTTGAATGACTGCTCCCCACCGTGTATTAGATCCTCTTTTGAAATTGATGCCCTTCTGCACTTGTCTCTGTCCAGTGTGGGCAAGGTGCACTGCATTAGCTGAATGACTGTTGATGAATGTGGGCAAAGTCGGGTTCATAAATTAATGCAAAAGAGTTAGAAGGCAAAGAATTACAACCTTAACTGTCATTCTACTTCATTTTATATTTAAGGCTTTCTGAACATGCAAGTAGTAATGACCAGGAAGCTGTTCAGATATGGTCAGATGACAAATTGAAGGCATTCAATTCATCTTAATTTTAAATTGTACTGTTTTAATAAAACTTGAGAACAAGCAGCTTTGTGTTTTGGGCTGCTTTGGGGTGGATTAGCTACAGCTATCTTTACTGTGAAAAGGATGTGTTCAGATATTCTGACAGATACCGTACCCGAGTAGTTTTTTAATTTATTTATGCTACTACTCAACATTTCTCCTAAGATACATCATACAGCCAACAGCATTCAAGAGTGTTACATATGACTTCACCTAATCTCGAGAAGGTGGATGGGGATGGGAGAACATTTTTATCGTAGACCTCAGTGATTTTGTCCGTGCCCACCTGTGCTAGCACAGTGATGCGGCGTGTTAGGGAGTCGCAGGCTTCACTGACCGCTGTGCTCTGCAGATTTGATGCGTGTGAAGTCTTGGGAGGTGCACATGCCAGGGGTTGTGCATGCGTACTGTAGGGACGATGCTTCACGAGCCTGGCCTCTGCGCGCCAGAGGGACATAAATTCCTGCACGTTGTATGCTTTTAAGAGCTGTCCGCGTCATGCACTCCTAGCGAATGACCGGAATTACTGGACATATCTTCACCAGGGAAGGCTAATCACTGTCCTTGGAGAGAGAGCAGACTCCTCTCTATGTGGTCCTCCACACGGGACATTTGAGCGTTCATTTCAAGTTAGTCGTACTTCACGAGTTTATAGAGTCTGACTCTCAACTATACAAAAGAAAATAGGCATGGAAAAGAAATCTTCCCATGGCGTATCTTGAAACAGTGGAATTACAGGTGATTTTGATTTTATTTTAGCCTTTTCTATTAATTTCCAAAATAATTGAGTAGCTTTTGTGATCAGAAAAAAAATGGACTAGTTAATCAGTACATAAAATTTTGCATCTATCATCAGATAGTAGTTTAAAAAAAGGTCCACCCTCTTGAAAGGACACACAGAGTGATTGTGTTTAGCTTCCAGTAGTTGCATCTTACACGTTTTATACAGTAGGAGTAACTTCTTATGAGAAAACATTTTTTAAAAAGCATGCTGCCTAATCAAAAGAACCATCTGCATTGTTGTGGTCAAGCACCTTTAAGCAGCATTAATCATTGCTGGGTTTTTTGTTTTTTTTTTTTTCAGAAAGATCCTTGATCTTGCTTAATTTTTTCTCTTCAAATTTGCATCTGGGAGCTACATGTGTTTCAGGGAGGATTGTAGAATGGGAAGAAATTGCATTTATCTTCTGGGTGGGGAAGGACTCTTCCTATTTGGTTGGGCAGGAAAACCTGTAGAAAGTGATTTTTTCTAGGTAGGTCACCCACCCAAACCAGTGATTAAACCTCCTTCCTCCCTCTCCCAGTTCCCTGTTGGCCCCCAAATAATTGACTCCAGCTTGATTCGTGTTGTAAAGTTGAAAAGATTGGTTTTTTTTTTTTTTTTTCAGTAAATCAAACTTAGGAGAGAAAAATTTAGTGATATTTATTGGCTCCAACTCCAATTTAGTTTTATCTTCTCATTTTTAACCATTGTACCTGTTAGTATGTAAGTCCTCTTGCTGGGCCTTTTAACCAGGTATGTTTTGTCTGGGATAAGAATTATAATAGTTTGAATGATGTACTGAGTTGAATCTTTAATTTCGTCTTTGTTTTTAAATTGGAGATGTACTCTCGAGTCATTAAGGAGCATGGGTCATTCATTTTTGAAAATTTGCTCTTACGCCCTGTGGGTGTGCTCTGTTGTCACTGTTTTATTAAAGCAGAAAATGCACCTGTGCAGGTCCCAGATGATAGGCATTAAAGGAAGAAACCCCAGTGTATTTGCCGTGGTATCGTTTCACTGCTCAGCGACGCACTGCAAAGTGAATGATGACATTCATGGACATCTCTTTTGTGGAACTTGCTAAGAATTGCAGTGGTGTGCTTAAAATAAATCTCTCTGAATACGAATATGATCCATGTTCATCATAGGAAGTTTAGAAAATGAAACGACTACCCAGATATAAGTCAGAACCATTTGGTGTCCTTCTAGTACA